ACCTACACACACACACCTGCTCGTTATCGCTGAGTTTAATTAGCACTCTGGTCTCTGCCAGTGCAATTAACCTACTTTAAATAAGGCTAAACAGATTTCTCGTAGAGAATCTAGTGCAAGTCTAAGCCTGGACAGAAACCAGTGAAAGCCTGAGCCAGGAATCAGGTTTTAGATGAGCTACGAGCTCCGCTGCATTTCAGCACCACAAAGACTGGTAAGACGGGAGATGTCTGTAGAGGACTTGCSCTGGCTTCCCCCAGCTTGGGCAGAGGCTGCTTAGTGCAGGTCGATTTAGTTACTTCCCTTTGTCTTTTAGATGTTTTCTGAACATGCTGAAAAAATGGTGACCCTGACGTGCATGTTTCTGAACACTTCAGTTGGAAACAAACCTTGTAGAAGTCCTCTGAAGGAGGAAAGCACTTTGCGCAAGGAACACTTTGCAGGTGGCTCCGTGTGGGGAGATAAAGGCTAGTATTATGTCCTAAATCAAGTAGCGAAATCAATGGGGTTTTTGTTTTTGTTTTCTGGCTCACTGTCGGAGCAGACAAGAGTGGGCAAGAGCAGACAAGAGCAAGAGTGGGCTCTTGCTACACAAAGTCACAGGCAAGGCTAGGTCTGTGTCTCACATGGCCAGGCTCAATCTGCTGGCTCATGGAGGAGTTGTAGGGCTGGAGGGGAAGGTAGAAATGCTAACAGAAGCGCAGAAGACAAAATGTGGTGTGTGGGGCTGCTGAGCAACAGAATTAGACAGAGGCTCTGCCAGGCGCAGGAGAAAACCTGTGTGAAGGAGAGGCAAGAAGCGAGTGGGAGGAGAGGAAGGAAGCTCTGAGAACTGAGGGGTGGCTGCAGATGAGGGGGCACGAGAGGTGGTGTAGGAAGAAATGGCAGAGATTGATGTTCAACTGAGACTGCAAAGAGCTCTCGTGGTGAATAGACTCAGCCTAATCTGGAAGGAGGGAGAAAACTGCTAGGAGGGAGAAAACTGCTAGGAGGATTTCAGGGGGACAGGATAAGAAGAAACTTCCTAAATTGTACTTTGGACAGAGTATAGGACAGAGAGATACGTTTGTAAAGAGTTAGTCACCGATAGTTAAAAAAAAAAATAACCCTGAAAGGGAAAATCTTTTAGAGAAACTGGGAAAGGAAGAAGCAGTAAGATTTCTGCAGGAAGTAAGAAGCAGAAATGACACAGAAGGAAAGGAAAAGGCTAAAGGAGAGATGTAGAGGTTGCTCCTCGTCCTTAATCTCCTGCTCAGAACTGCGGGAAGCCGCTGCATCAGCTGCGCCACATTCCTGCTTGTGGGCAGAGCCTGGGAAAGCCTGCACCCAGAAGCAGGCCCGGAGGTTTCTCAGCCCATGAGAAACGGCAGCCAGCACAAGAAAAGCCTTCTGGAGGCAGCCACAAGCACATCAGCAACTCCATCAGCCCCACGGCGCCTTCCCGCACGGCCGCCCTCGGGAAGCCGGGAATGCACCAGCTGACCAGGCCTGTTTCTCCCGCCTCGTCTCAGTGCGGAACCACAAGCGTCTCCACGTCCGTTCCCTGCTGCGCACGCCGAGAGCTGCGGGCTGTGCTCTGCGGAGCGGTGCYGAGGATGGCCGAGCCCGGAGCTGCAGCCCGCGCCAGCGGCGAGGGCCTCCCCTCCGGCGCAGCTCAGCCCTCATCCGTCCCCCCACAGACAAACCTGCGCCTGCCGAGGGGGCCGCGCAGGCCGGCACAGACACCCCGGTGTGTGGGATGCTGCRCCATCCCACCGGGCACAGCGCCAGCGCCACGGCCGCTCCGGGCAGCACCCACCTGAGCAGCCCTCTCACAACCCGGCACTCATGTCCCGTCGGGGGCCTCTCGTCCTCACACTGCGGGCATCGCCTGGAGGGGCACAGAGTCTCAATATCCTGCTCTGCCCTTCAAGTTGCATATGAGACAAYGGAGCTTCGTCTTGCTTAGATAGAACTCACTCTTAGAACAGATCAGAGCAGGTGCCAGCCTGAGGCTATGCACCTACAGGCAAATAATATGTTACCCAAATATTGTGCATTGCCCTCAAAGCTGAATTTCAAAGAAGAACTTAGCAAATTTTAAAAAAATTGCTGCAAGCCAAGACTGGAATTGAAATTTGGCTGGTAGTCTCTGGGTAGCACTCATGCCATTGTGCAAGTTTGTGCGGTGATTTTTTTCCAGGCCTCAAACGAGGCCACTTTGCAGGGATAAAGGAGGCTCGGGAGCCTGCCAGGACACTTTGCAGGGATAAAGGAGGCTCGGGAGCCTGCCAGGACACTCTGCAGGGATAAAGGAGGCTCGGGAGCCTGCCGGGACACTTTGCAGCGATACAGGAGGCAGACACGGGCTCAGGAGCCCTCCATGTGCAGGCGGCCCCGATGTGGCGCTTGGCCGGCAGCTCGGGGTGCTGTGCATCTCCCGCCACGTGAGCTTCCCTGCACTCCCATCTCCTTCAACCAGCTCACGAAGCACCTGATCTTTTTTTTTTTTTTTTCTCTCTCTCCAATCAAAGGGAATAAAAAATATTCCAGGCTCTTCAGCATCTCTCTGGCTGCTCACCTTTCCCCAGGTAGCAGTAGATATGCATTTCACTTCAGAGTTCCTCCTGYTTTTAATGCATTTCCATAACTCGTTCTCAGTGTCTTTTATACTCTGCTGTGTTTTGCGCCACAGCCATTCCCTCTTCATCCCCGCGTGCTCTTCCTTTCCCRTACCCGTGATTCTCCTTTGTGCCGGAGCTGTGCCTTCAATGCCATTAAGCCAGTGCATGTTTTTGCTATCCGTGCAAGTTAACAGGCAGGACAGCTTAATTAGGACCGAGCATTAAATTAATCATTTCCCATTTCAAATGCTTTGAAGCCAGCGCTGCACTCAGAGTTTCCAGCCTTTGGCTCCTCTTCCTGGCCGCGGATGGCTGTGGAAGCGCTGGAAGAGCCTTCCCCGCCATCTTCTCCACACGTGAAGCCGGAGTTCCCTCACGGGGGCGGCCATRCGCCTCCGAGCACGGTGGGTTTGTTGGGCGCCACATCCCGGTGGGCGCCTCAACCTGCCGCGCGGCTCCTCTCCACGCATGCAGCAGCCTCGGGGCGAGCCGAGCCCCGGGTGGGCAGCATGGCTGCTGAGGAAGGCTCTCTCTCGGAAAGGCCCACGCAGGAAGGGCCCCCAGGTGGCGGCAGCCATGTCGGCGCAGCCTGAGGCGGCGGGGAAGCGGCGTCAGCGCGCTCGGGAACGTTCTAGACAACTGCAGGTCGGGGGATTCAAAGCTGCCTCTCGCTGCAGAAAGGCAGGTTGTGAACCAGTTCCCCATCTTCTACAGGCAGAACGCAGCCGGCATCGGTGCCGCGCCATTTCACAGGCAGGGAGCCGAGCCGGGGCCCAGAGCAGCCCCAGCTCCTGCAGTCACGTTGAAAGCAGTGCTGCGTGGCCGGCAGGATCCTGTGCGGGCAGCATTTGGTTCCTCTTCGTCCAGCCCCACGCGAGACCTTCCCCTCCGGGCCCAGAGCAGCCTCTGGAGGCACCACAGTACTTGGGGAAAGGGAYGGAGCCACTAAATAGATCTGCTCGCCATTTCACATCAACCGCAGCCACAAGCGGCAGAGCAGCTAATCCCTTTTGAGCAAGGAAAAAGAACCCACGACAGCGATACTATCAAAACAGAAAATTGTGCATGCTTCAAGAACAAGCACTATCTGCAGCTATACAAGCTCACAAAATAGTTTAGAATGTGTGTTCATCGCCTTACTTCATACCAAAAACAACGGCTATTTGCCTCAAGAGATGAGAGATTTCCCCGAAAGGCTGCACAACTGCCTGGTGCCTTGGCCACCCTTGCACTGATGTATGACAGAAATTCGTATATTATATACAAACATGCTAAAATAGCATCATTAAATGGTCGGTGCCCTRTAAGTAAGCACAAGGCTATTTGTTCTCCTGATTGTTACTTCTAACTCCTGCAGGGATCGCAGGTGGCTGGCAGCTGTTCCTGGGGAGGAAAACACACATCCCGACAGCATTCAAGCACATACAGTGATAGCCATTTCCATCAGAACTGGAAGGACAGAAAGTAACTCTCATCTCTGCTGAGCATCTTTTCCCAATGGTTTGCACTTCACATAAAAGCATGGTGTTGCAAAATGACAACAAACCAATTGCTTATTTGTTTTAGGATGGAGTTTTGTGGAACACACTCTCATCCAGAAAATCTCCTCGCTCACTCAAGATACTTCCAATGCTCTTTAGGACAAGCACATAAAGATAAAAGTCTTTCAATCTCCGTAATTTCCTGTGTGCAGAGCCCCAGTGCACATATATCCAGAACAGCTACCTAACGAGTGCCAAACATCAGYGTACCTGCACTCATATCCTAGGAAAAATATGTGCTACCTACCCTGCTCTCAAATTGTACCTCTAGGGATCATGCCGTACTGCAACAACAAAACTAAGAAAGTYGCTCTTCCTGTAATCTAGATTAAAGGCAAAAATAATGTCATGGTCATAGTGTTAACACGGAGCTTACCCTGGGAAAGTAGTAGCCTGCACTTACCTTGTTCTTCTGGCTTTTTCTGAAACATRCATTGCTGGCCACTTCAAGTGACAGCAAGTGGGTTGGCTGGACCACTGCTGTGACCACAAATGATTCTAAAGTAGAAATATCCTAGCTTATTAAAATGGATATTTGAATATAGGAGAACTTACATCAGACAATAAGATCCCATGGGAAGACTAGCTTAAGGAATTAATTGTTTCTTAATGTTCTTAAACAAGCTGAGCCTGCTTTTCATCCTGATACAAATTTGGAATAAGGGCTTGGGAGCTTGTCTTCAGTAGAAAAGATGAAAAGAAAGGATGTGGGTAGTTAATGACAGTCAAAGCTTGCTTAAGCATTAGACCTCTTAACTTTTTTTTCCAGTAATTACTAATGTTTTGGGACATTCTGCCTAATTAAAGATCACTGTCACAGATGAACTCTAAAGGTTCCTTCTTATCCATCCCACAGGTTCCACGAGCCAAGGCCTTGTACAGCTACCGTGGGCACAATCCTGGGGAACTGAGATTCAACAAAGGAGACATCATCATGTTGCTCCGACAGCTGGATGAAAACTGGTATTTGGGCGAGATCAACGGTATCAGCGGGGTTTTTCCAGCCAGCTCCGTACAAGTCATCAAGCACCTGCCGCTGCCACCACCCCTCTGTAGAGCACTTTACAACTTCGACCTAAGGAGCAGAGACAAAAATGAAAACAAAGACTGCCTGACATTTCATAAGGTAATGCCACCCTTTCCGCAGCCAGCGGCTGCATAGTATGGGTTAGGCTGTTTTTCCGCTCTAGATTGTGCCATATCATATACTTTTATGACTCCATCGCATCCTTCTTTTCAAATCCTAAAGCTCTGTACAAAAATCAGTAAGGTTGCCAAGCCTCACTAGTACATATATATATATAGCTCACATCAGTGGCTGAAAAATCTCACACGTAACTTCCACAAAGACATGCACTGATACTTAAAGAATTAGGTGCATCCTGAGAGGGATGCAAATGCAATCTGTGAATAGCAATTTGAGTCCCTTGTTTCAGGTTCTCTACAAGGCTCCTCTAATCACTCAGGAATGGATGACAGTTGCAGTCTGCTTTCAGTACCAAAACACTCTGGTGGTATCTTTAAAAGATRCTTAATGACATATTAAAGAAAATTGCTTTTGAGACAAGAGGTATTTTGTTTACACACCTTGAACATATTCAGAAAGTCTATTAGAAATATACATTCAGAGTAATACCCAAACTTTTCCCGTATCTTTTTATTCCCCTAAAGTTACAGAGCTTGCATATGTTTTCTGTTACGATTACCTGTTTTTCTGAATAACTGCACATCCCAAAGTCTGCTCTCCCCACAGTGTCAAAATGAGGTGAGGCATCACAGAGTAAAACAGAGAAATCGGTGCCTACAGGCATCAGTCTCCCAACAGAAAAGTCACCTCTTCTTCTTTCCAGCTGGCAGCACAGCTCTGATGTTCTTCTGGCTCTCACTGATGGAGAGAAGCATGAGAGGGAGGCTGTGGTGCAGGCCAGGTATCTCTAAGGAGTCAGAGTTGAATGTGGGGTGGTCAGCGGACAAGAAAAATCAAATAGCCAAGAGCCAGTTGTGGTTTCTGACTAAGAAGGTGAGGAACCAAAGGAGAAAAAAACAGTTCTCAGCAGCATCGCACCATCAGCAGCACAATATAGTGGGGGTTTTCTCTTTACTGGTGCAGAAAAAAAGGCAGCAACTCTTCCTTCATCATTGCAATTTACTTATTAACAACGGGCACCTTCCTCAGTTTTCTGCCATTTGGATTTGTTTTTTTCTTTTCCACTTTGTTTGTCTTTGTTTCACTGCTTACTCATTCCATTTATTTGTCTTAAGAGGCTGTGCTCATCTCCACTCCCACAGCAAAGTTCACACATAGAGTCACACACATCTGAAACAGATGCTTCTTCAAAGAGGCAAGAACATCCTCCTCTACCCATGCTTTGCAACACTGATCAGCTGCTGTATGAAGTGTTGAAAGATTGGGRCAGTTATTTTGGTAACTTCCTTCTGAAATAAGCTCAAGAAAATGCCACAACCAATATTGCTTCTTGAGGCAACTCAATTGTTCRAAAATAAGAGCTGGCTTCTGAACTAGCTACAGAAAAACACAAAAAAAMCCCAACCACCCAACCTCGTGCCCCCTACACAAACGCACCTTCAAATCCTCAGCTCTTGCTGCTTGTTCTTGGGCTGCACCTGGCTCTGCAGGGAGCTCCTCTGCCTCATCACCTCTCACACCTGGACAAGATACCTCTTTCGGTTTAATACCCTCCTGTTTGCCCCATCTTCACATACCTTTGCCCTCTACCTCTGGGATAAGTTGACAGTAACTTGGCAACAAACCTGCCTGGAAATTTATATAGTGATTCCAGTGCACTGTSAAGGAGCAATCTCTTATCACTCAGGAAGTAGATAGCAGATAGCCTTGATTTGCCTAGCTGAACCTCCAGAGCCATTTACCTCACTGCAAGACTAATAAAAAACTTGTATCGATTCAAATGGAGCCTGTGTGAACACAGACATTTTGGCCAGCAGAAACCAGCCTCTTGAGCCACTTGGAGCCAATAGAATTTTAGCCCCAAACTTTGTGTGTTAGTTCGAAAGAGAGAAAAACAATTTGTTCCTGTAAAACTATTTACTCTAATACATACATCCCTGACATATCCTTAAAAAGTTGAAATTAACGTTAAAATTTAATAACATTTAATTATTGCTGAGTTGCTCAGAGTGCAAGTCTTTCCAAAGAAATTTATCTACCTGTCAATACAAACTAGCTTTTTTTGCCTCAGCTATTTCCACATCAATAATACCAGGATTTTTCAACTCCAAAAAGTGATCCGAGTTTCTTGGCAGCATGACACCACTTACCTARATACTTGCACAGCTTTTTTCATTGGTATACAGCAAAAATGCCACTTTCATTATTAGTTTGTTGCATGGTGATTGTAGAATCTCCACATGATGAAAGTCTCCAAACAAGTTAAAAGCTTGTGTGCTTTTTTGTGCAGTTTGCATTAGATTCTTGTGCACGCTCCTGATGCAGCCAGGCCTGCACCTTTAAATTAAAAACATGTTTAAGCATTGTGCTGAATAAGGACAGACAAGCCTGTGTTTCAGAATAAATACATACCGAAAGCTTTGCTGAACAGAGGACTTTATAGGGGACACACCACTGAGGCTATTTAACAAGGTTGCTTTGTGAAATTACAGGGTGAATCCTTCTTCACACCTACTATCCACCTCTCCCACAAGAGACGGTCGGTAACAATATACTCCTGCCTTTCAGGGTGATATCATCACCGTCATCAGCAGAGTTGATGAAAACTGGGCAGAGGGCAAGTTAGGCGACAAAGTAGGGATCTTCCCCATCTTGTTTGTGGAGGTAGGTACAGTCTGTTCTCAGCCGGGTTCGATCCGTCACAACACTGAGCACTGCGTCTGGGCCAGCCGGCGAGGGCCGCRCTGCACGGGGCCCCTTGCACCTCCGTGGCTGTCTCTGATGGAGAAAGCAAGCACAGCTTTCCCTCTCCCTCACTGAAACAAGGACCAGCTGAATATGGACAGAATTGGGGTTCAAAAACATCCAGACAATTTCTGGCAGAGTATCAAAATAGTATTTATAATTGGTTCTGCTATAATTATGTATAATAACTATGCTTCGCTGAGGATACATATCGTTGGTCCAACCAACTGGCTCTGGATCACAAGGGCCTCAAGACACAGGCAGCCTCTCTCTGCCCAAGCCAAACCAGAGCGTCAGAGGCGGCGTCATGGTCGTGGCCGTCTCCACAAACCTTTAAACCACCTGCCCTAACTATTTCTGTTGTTGTTGTTAACGCTGGTCTAGACATTAATTGTATTCCTACAGTTAAGCTTGAGATGCAGGGTGGAAATGGCACCAACAAGAATTCCTAGAAAAAAAATCATTTTAATCATCATAATTACTGCAAGCATGTCTTCATGACTATTTTATAAAAGGACACTAGTAAAACATCTTATTTGAAGTTCTAATATATTTTGTAAAATGACTTTTCATTTAATGAAATCATTTAAATTCAGTAATTACTTACTTGAATCTGACATTAATAAAAAATAAGTTAACGAGGACCATATATAGTCACCAGGAATTGAAGAAGGCAAAGGTAGGTCAAGTTTGGCAGATACAAGACTTCTATTGGATTACTACTTTATATGTGTACACATGTGCACACTATGGTTTTTAAACCTTGATTTAAGAAGTGAGGAGGAGGGAAACATGAAAACAATCCATAGTTTAAAATGAAAATGCTTGAGACAACTACCTGTTCCGTGTAAGAGTAATTCTTGTTGAGCCCAGGAGCCAGGCATATTGCTTCACATGAGTGGGCGAGAATCTTAAAGTTTTGCAATTTGTTAATGTCAGCAGTAAATCATGATTAATTCCTTTGGCAGTCATCGCGGTAAAAAAAACATTGTCACCACATGCCCTTTGCTATTAATACTGTAGTGATCAGCAGTTTCCAAGAAATACTGTTTAAATGTTGCCTCTATGCAAATTCAGGGCCTGACTCCTCTCATTAAAAACAATGGTTAAAAGGCTGGGTTTTTTTCAATGAAAACAGGATCAAGCTATGAATGTTTTGGCCTAGACAGATCTAATTGTATGGATCTAAGTCTGCTCCTGAACTATCCACTATCAGGGAGGACTTCTCTAAATTAAGGCCTAAAAGATAACTGCAGAGGTTTAATATCCTGTTGCGACACACACCCAAGTTTGCTAGCGCAAAATGTAAGAGGAAGATGTGCCCAGACATCCCTTCTAATTTAGAGTTAAGGTTCTTACAACGCTCTGGCTGATGGAGGGTCAGCCATCTCCTCTTATGCCTCTGCAAGTCAAAGATTTTCATAAAAGACAAAGTTTTCTGTAGAGCACAAGGATGGAGGGGGAGGGCAGGCACAGGGAGAAGCCATTCAAGTCTCAGTAACATTGGCTGGGCAACTAATTTTTCAAACCCATTTTAACTTGGCTGTCAGCTTTGTATCAGTAAAAATATCAGCTTTGCATTTGGGATTTGTCATAGAAAACATAAGAGTAACATTAAAAAAGGCCACAAATTTTTAAAGATCATCTATGATGTCATCTCAAATCTGAACACAACTGTGCTTCCAGACAGAAAAACACTGGGAAAAGAAAAGAGCAATCACTGGGCTGAATCTGTGAGAAGTGTAAGTTCTGAAAWACCAACATTGTTTTTTTCTTTTTTTGTTGCAGCCAAACACTACTGCAAGAAAACTCCTGCAGACAAGCAAAAGCCACCAGGCTCCTCAGTTTAAATGTGCATCACCCTCACGAACAACAGCCACCAAGTCAAAAGGCGCAGATTCACCAGCTTTCCACAAGGCATCCGACTCGAGAAGGAAGAGCCTGAGACAATTCTCAATCACAACTGCCTTAAACACGCTCAACAGGATGGTCCATTCCCCTGCCGAGCGGCAGGCCCTGGAGATCAGCTCTCCTGTGCTCATCAGCTCCAGCAACCCCACGGTGGCGACCCAGAGCAGTGAGAAAGGGGAGCTGCCTTGTGGCGTGCCTGTGCAGGTAAGACCGCAGCGGGATCAACAGGACACAAACACAACAGTGCCGAAATGTAAATTCTAGCTAGAAATGTTTGCTGCACGCATAGAAATTCAAAGGGCTAAAGYACACACACAAAAAAACCAACTCTCACACAACACTCTTAGGAAGGATTAAGTCTGGCATTTAAGAGTTTCTATTTCTGGTGATGCAAACAATATGCCAAAGCTTAACTGAACTTGGATCATTTATTATGACTTGCATATTGTTTAAAAGACAGACAAAGTACCTCTGGTAACAGCATCTATAGCACATCACCTGTAACAGCCTAACACTTTTCCCTTCCTTATAAATTAGAAGAATCTGTCTTCAGATTTCAGAAACCCAAGAGAATAAAAAGAAAGATTAAGTTATCAAAGTGACTAAACTTGGATAAAAAACATTCCCTTTATGATTTTGTTCCTACGATGGTAAGCTGCAGGGACAGAAAATGAGAAAATGAACAGCTTCACTTACAAAATAAAATATTGCCCATTTTAGAAAGATTAATCAAAACATAATTCTCTGGGGAGTAACTGGGCCTTGGCTTGTTTAGATACACATGCCAATGTACATGCCTAAATTCACACTACAAGCAAACCTTTATTTTGCCATATTACAATAYTGATCCAAGACAGACCGCCTCAGTGTCTGCAAAATTGCAGAACACGGGGAGCTCGCCAAAAACTATTACTAAAAAGCCAAAACTCTCTAAGCAGGGTATCACATCTTTGGACATCCTTACACGCAACCTCAGCTCTGCCTAGAATTTTTATGCAGGTGGAACCCTAAGGCCCCAAACACTCACGGAGGACTCTGCACCTTCAGCACGCCAACGCAGGTGCCTCTGCAGCGAGGCTGCCGCAGGCTGCCACGTGCACACAGGGTCCTGCACGCACAGCTCTCCTGGGCACGCTCTGCACCGCTGCATGTGCACGCAGGGTCCCGTGTGCGCAGCGCAGCTCTCCTGGTCTCGCTCTGCATCACTTCTCTGCGCCCCTGCACGAAGCCCAGCGAGCCAGTGCTTCACAACCGCTTTGCAGGGCACGTGCGGATATTCTGGCATGGGAAATCCTGCCCCAAAACACAGAGCTTCATTACCACATTCTAACCCATTGTTTATTTCTCAGAAATCAAACCAGCTTCCTCACAAAAAGCAACCATGTGCCATGCTACAACTCCTGCTGGAATCATCGAGCCTGCTGCTTCTCCTACGCAGGCTTCTCCCTTCTCCAAGGCACGCAGGGTCCTTGCCCTATCAGTCTGCTACCTGCACCCGGCCACCCTCCGGGTGAAAGTTTCTACCACAAGCTTGCAATTACCACACAGTCTTGGTTGGCTATGAGCTAAACCTCAAGCCAAAGCTTGCTGCCAGGGGCTGGGATCACAGAGCCACGCTGACCTTAGGGCCGTATTCTCGACATATTTTAGGAGAAAAAGTCTCATTCCTTCTTAACACTCTGACCTGAAATCTCAATACAGAATCTTTACAGATCATTTCAAATGGGAGGAAGCAGTTTTTCTTTAGATTTATATGACATCTGTCATATTCAAGGTTGCCTTAAATGGTTTCTAAAGCAATAAGCCAATCCCTGCTAGTTCCAGTCTCCACACCATAAAAACCCAGCAGGCATTTTGTACTTAGCACTAGCCTGCAAAGAGCCTTGGATGTTAGAGCCTGCTTTATGTGAGAGGAAATGAAGCCTTACAAGAGAACTATAATTCAATTGAAATTTATCCCGTCTCATGAACCCAATATCGTTTTACCAAGAATGTCTCAGTGCGAACTGTTGTCAACAACACAAGCAACAGAGCGAAAATGTTAGCTTGTTGCATTAGAATGGTTCTGAATTTCCTTTTTACTACATGCTAATTTTCTTCTGGAGATCTACAGGAGGGTATATTTGCCTTTCTTATGGCCACCCACGATGCAGTTTTCCCTTTTCCGTATCCAAATTTGGGTTGCTGAATTTGATTGATCCACAAATTTGAGATTGTTATGCAAGTCTTGGCGCAAACTGCCACATTAGACAATGTTGATTTTTAGTATTGCTTTCTAATATTTCTAATATTAATCAGATTGAAAGTTGCAGTGGGAAATTTGTTAATAAGGGAACCTTAATAATCAGAAGAAAAATTTCAAGACTAGGAATAAAGAATACGAGAACAATGGTAAAGTAATGGAGAGATGAGGAACGATGTTAATTCCAAAGGTTACTTTCCCCAGAGCTTGTCAACTTCTTGTGCAATTTTTTCCCTGATAGTAGCAGACTTCAGAAAAAATAGCAGTGCATCTCCAAAAGCGTGGTTGTATTAGGGCAATTTTATACACACATCACCATCTGGAGGAAAAGCGATGTGTTTCTTGGATTTAAACTACTCCAAATAAGATAGAAAAGGTTTAGAAATAATGAACAATTTTGCACCTAATGCCAGTGCTGAACATTCAGCCTTGGAGTCTGAGCCATCAAGCCAGGGGGGTTGTTATGAGCAGCAATATAAACGAAGCAGCTGCACAGACTGAACTGCGCCCTTAATTACTGCTGTGCATTTTTGTGTCCTCGAGTGAGTCTTCCGAGGCCGAGTGGCCTGGCTCTTTGTGGGCGGTCACAAATGTGGTGCAGCAGATGGAGCCGAGGCTCTAGCCGAGCTGTTTCCACTCGGGGCTGCAATCCTCAGCGCAGTCCATGCAGGTGTCAAGCCCGCGCTCACCGCTCCGCTCAGTGATGAGTACGGATCCTTGCTCGCGATGCATCAGAGCCACCTGTGAACAGCAGTGTCTCCAAAGGGTTTTCCAAAACCTGGCAGGCAGAAAAATTTTTGAGAGCAAAGCGGGTAAGAATTTCACTGGCTGTTAGGGAGTTGCTCCATAAGATAACATATAGAGCTGGACGGGTTTAGCTGAAGAAGGGCTTAGCTCATGCAGCAGCCTTTGAAAGGAGGGAGAAGCCCCACGCAGAAGGGCTGGAGAAGAGCTGCCTTGGCAGGGCCTCCCGAAGGCGGCGGCGCCTGCCCCTTGCCGTGCAGGAGGAGGGACGGCACTGCAAGGGCAGAGCATGAGGAGCACGGGGCAGYGGGCAGGCTCTGCTCCAGGGGCAGTGCGAATCCGGGCAGGAGGAATGTGCTCCACACACCGCCTGCCCCGCGAGCGGGAGCGTCCGGGCGCCCCGGCTGGGGCTCCCTGCGAAACCTGGGGGCAGCTGCCGGGAAACGCGGGAGCAGCCGCCGGCCCAGGCTGCACACTCGGCACCGCAGCTTCCCAGGCTGCACACCCGGGACCGCAGATTCCCTCCCGCGAGGAACTGCCCCCGCCACAGCACCCAGGAGCCCTGCTGCTCAGGCTGCCGGGCCACATGTCCCTGCTGTGTCCCAAGTGCACACTGTGGCCCTGCAGTGTCCCGAGCGCATGCTGTGGCCCTGCCGCGTCCCCAGCTCGCACCGTGTCCAAATTTGGTCCTTGGGGTGAAGAGCTGCTAGTTTCAGCCCCTCTGCGGGATGAGGCTGTGCGGCCTGGCAGGCTAGCTGGAAGGGACAGTAATGCTGCCATCGGGTGTGAAAGGCTCGGCATGGCAGAGCATGTCCCTACCCCACAAATCCTGTCATGAACAYGCTCTTGACAAGGAATTCCCCTTTCAGGAGGGAAAAGGAAGAGCTATTGCAGAACTCAAGCTAGCAAACACGCTCAGGACAAGCTGGGTAGAGAGCAGGAAGAAAGGGTGCTAAGAAGAGACAGAAATCTTGTACTTTTACAGGTTTGCAAGTTATCTGTAGGAGACACAGCAACTAAATCCTGAAACCACCTTTATACTCATACCTGGCTAGAAAACATTCAAATAAAATACAAAAGCAGCTTTGGCAGAGGCTCTGAAGGGATCGCTCATTATGTACCATTGGGAATGGAGAGAGGTCAAAAAAAAATAACCTCCCCATCCAGAGGGGAAGTTTCATCGGGAATGCTAGCAAGTACAGGAAAAGAAACTCCATATTTCAAAGCTTTTGATTATCAAAATTATTTTAACAGATTGGTAATTTCCAATCAGCTTCATTTATATGAAAGAGGCAAGTCTGATCCCCAGYAGGAGAAGAAAACAAGCAATGCAAAGATGTTTTGAAGCTTACCTGCCATTCCAGGTCCAGAAACAGAGGCTGTAGTTGCTGGGGTTTTAATTAACTAAACCCACTACAGAGAAACAGAGCTGGTGAGTCACTTTTTTCCCCCTAGGTCCATGCTACAAAAATGCCCCAGCCCTGCATTAGAGACATGACCACTAGAAATTAGGGCTGAAACGAACAGGAGATGAAAGCTCTGACTACCTGCATCATTAAAGGTCTTGCAGTCTTTACTGCAGAGCACAAGTGCCAGGCAGGCTGCAGCCCAGGAACCCTCCACTGGCCTGGGTTTTCCCAGGGCCTCTCCGCTGAAGCGGCGCCGCTGCTGGGAACCGTTTCCACCTCTGGAAAACAGCTGCCCTGCCGCAGTGCTCAGCAGGTGATCATGAAAACGCCACACCGAGCGGTGCCATCGTTCCCCTGGAGCCCCGCRTGCAGGCTCAGTACGCTGCGTGCTCTACTGCCACCAACCTGCCACCAGAACCCTCATGTCCCAGACCGGCTGGGCCACAAGCATGAAGATGACGAAAAGAAAAGCCAAGTTCCCGGRTAGAAACTGGAGGGGACGCCAGGAACGCACTCTGGTGGCCCAGAGCAGCTCATCAGCAGCATGGACCTTCCCGTGCAGTGCTCCACAGCACCRCTCTGTTCCACAGTTCTCTCGGAAGCACATTCTGGCTGTGAAGGTGGTAGACTGATAACCAAGAGGACCAGATCCCCACCGCCAGGGCTGGTGCAGTGCCAGGTGTGGCAGCACGGCTCCCTCCTGCCCTCGTGACAGAGCTCAGCCTCCCGTCTGCAAGACGGAGATAACAAAACCTCCCTGCTTCTGGGGCTGCTCAGAGATTCCACTAATCCCTTACTGTTTGCAAAGCACTTGGAGATCCTCCAAAGCAAGGCATTACTGAAGAGCACGTGCGTCAGCCCTGCCCAGAGGGACCACCTCTGGAGGACAGAGATTTAATTGTCCTCGTTTCATTTAATCCTCTGCCTTGCTACTGAAAGGGGTGAACAAGAAGGAGCCAAAGGCAAGTGAAAAAACTCCAGATTCAATTGTTTGCTTTGCTATTTGAGTGAAATGGACTTTCAAGTGAAAAGGATGGTCTGCACCCATCCCTAGAAATTTAGTTTTCAATGAAATATGTTGCAGCCCAATGGCTAAAGCAATTTGCAGCCAACAAGAAAAATATTTCCACTAAAACAAGCTGTCACAGATCTCCCGGCAGGACACAGCCCAGGGCCTTCACCTTTTGGCATGGCAGGACTCCCTGCTCAGAGAACCTTCCCATGACACAAGTGTCCTCACCAGGAGGAAGAGGCCAAGGCTCCTTCCAGGAGACCTGGCCTGGCCAGAGAGGAAAAACACGCAAGGAGACACCCAGATGTACACCTGCCACTGGGCACCGCTTTGCCATTTCTTAAAGAATCTGACATAGCTGGCTAACGGAGTTTAGGATTTTTTAATCTTTGTGCATTTTTGGAAGAAGATTAGCGTTTACCACCTCTAAGAGCTCTGGTACCAGTTTCCTAATCACTCGACAAAACAGCTGTGAAAAAGTAACTGCCTCTGCACTGGAAATGAAATGAAAAAATGTCCCGGTCTCCCCCGCAGCAGCGGGGCTCCCCGTCCCCCAGCACACGGGAGATGACGCGCGGCGCTCRCCAGCTCCAGACAGGCATCCGACCTGCCCAGGTTTGAGGCCTTGAAATAAACTGCTGAACTAATGAAGCGACTAATCAGAGCCCTCATTAGCCATGAGCAGTTTCCTCTATTCTTTTACTCACAGCATGTCTCCAACCCTCTTTCCTAGAAGGGTTCAGAGGTGCACAGCAGACTGTAACCTGCATGTGCCTGCCCTTCTTTGCTCACCTAGATAAATTAGCCCGATGCTTAAATGTTTTCTCTCAGGCAAGCAAGCAACAGCCATTATGTGCTGGTAGCTATAAAGCACAGGCTGATTTTGCAGGATGAACTGGCACCAAGACTGCTACTGATAAGGAAAACAAGTGACACAACCTGCTAACTGGATGGACCTTGTCCAAAGCTCATCTTTTCTGACAAAGGAGTCACTCCGTGCTCAGGTGTCTCCTCCTCTGCCTGGTTTACAAGCAGCCTGTGGCCGATGGGGGCCCTGAGGTGATATTCCAGCCCGGGCCACTAAAAAGCAAGCCCTGCCACAGCCCCACAGGCTTCCCTGAGCTGCCCCGCTCACGGCACCCAACCCTCCTGGGACCAGCCAGGCTGCCGGGGTGAAGAGGTGGGGACGGTGAAGATGGGCCAGGGGCCTGATGCTGGCAGCCTGCTCTGTGCGCCCAGAGCAGAAGCTTCACCTCCTCGCAGTGCCCTGCGCGCACAGGCTGACGCTGCCACCGGAGAAGTTCTGCTGAGAGGAGCGGCCCCGGCACACAGTCCTCTGCGCTGSCGTCTCACCAGCCCTACAGAGCTCAAATATTTATCTTCTGACTTTCCACCCGTTTGCAACAGAAGCAAGAACTTTTACCTACCTCAGCAGCAGATGAGGCAAGGGCTTGTTCAACACACAGCTGCCAAAAAGTACTGTGCCAGCAGAAGTGATGCTGAGGTTCCTCCTTTAAACATGAAAGGCTCCTACGAGAGGAGGACAAACTGGGCATTAGGTTGATTGGTACCTCTCCCTAGATGCAAAATGATGGCAGGGAAACAGTGGCCTCAAACCATATGCAAACAACAGGCTCCCCTTCCCATGCTCTTGCACCACAACTTGCACCGCAGACAGTTATTTTTCTCTGCCAGGCAAGGCTGGCATTGTGTAAATGCAAAGGTTTAGGGAGTTCTTCAGAAGAAGGATGCCATAGACATGGTAAATAGCTTTAATAATAGTTATTAGAAGATCACTGGGGCAAAGACTGTATTATTTATGTTTTATACAATGCCCATACACTCAGCTGGAACTAAGTAAATAGCAAGTGAAATGGCAATGATTATACAAGTCTCTCTCACCTGGCAGACGTCACAGTCTGCTACTGGTTAGCAGGTCTGGATTTCACATTTGGGTTTTTTTTTTTGCCAAATTCCTTTTTCTTCCTGAAGCAGCTGTTAGACATAGCAAATACATCAAAGGCTCTCACCTTGTTCACAGGTTACAGAAAGGAATGGGAAAACACTGAACATAAGGACAGKGATGAGCGTCTCCCCACTCAAGGGGAACTCATATTTAAGGGTARCCATGATTGCAGATTTAGGGCTCAAATTTAACATTTGAAAGCTGTGGCTACTAATTTAAATCTAGTCTGCTTAATCATTCTTCTGAAAACTCCTGGAGCACAAGGCAGCCTGTCCCAATAAGCCTGCAGTTCAGCACCTTTCCAGCAACACCCGCTACCCACCTGTGTSCTGCCACAGCCACTCACTCGCACACAGGAGCGAATCAAGGTGATTTTTAGTACTGGAAGTACAGAGTGCAAACACATCAGCCACTGATGAATGATCTCAGTATGAAGTGAATGAGCTTGTTATTTATTTACAGGAGAAGCAGTCAGCCCTACCAAACTCTACCAGGAAACCTTCTCAATGTTGAAGTAGAAGGACTGTCACGAGTCCTGCTACTGCATTTTGCATTTTAAACTTTTTCATCACGTGCTTCTAATTCTTCTTTCCCCTGAGATGTCTTTGCAAGTAAACGAAAGGCGCTTTAACTGACCTTGTGTCAATGAGTCTCGCTTCAAGGAGGGCATTGAACCATATAACTTGCCAAAGCCCCTTCTACCAGCATTTCTGTGACTCAGAGATGGGGTATCTCAAGTTTCCATTTATGTCTACAGCTCTGCAATGTTGAGAATGACGACCAGCATTAATTGTCATGTCGTCAGGGGTTTGAAATGCAGACGTTTATCTCCTACAAAATGAACCAAGATACTCATCTCATTCCATGCAATCTGCTGGAAGAATGTCAAGGGAAGCAAGGAATCTCCACTGAACAGGGTTACATTTGAATCAGTTGTCTTCTCTGTCTGTCACTACATGGTATTTATGAGAGACACAGAGCAACAGAAATGCCTGTTAAGAAGCCTGATCCTCCTCTCTTTTTTTGAGGTGTTCTTGAGGCCTGACAAACACTGTTAGCTGCTGTTCCAATGGCTAAAATAAGCTTATATTCTGAATAATATTTCTTTTTCTTTCATTTTTTTTTCCTCCAGGTCAGTGCATCTTACTATCCTGCACCAGGATCTTTGGGGCATTCAGCAGCCATTGTCACCCTTCCCCATCTGCAGCATCACATATCAGCCAATATGTACGTAAGGGAACCGAAACCTGGTGGTGGTGTCATGCAATTCCCAGGGTCGCCTCCTGAGGTTTATCTAACTAGGGCAAAGCTCCTGCCTGAGTGTTCAGAATCAGAAGATAAAACCAAATTAGAAGGCAGGATCCCTTTTGTTCATTCATACTTTGCTATTCTAACCTTCTTAGAGACTTAACATGACAATGACCAAAGATTAATTTTAGGGAAATCAATGATATACAAGTATTTAGCTATCCTATTGAAAACATTCAAGGTAGATTCTGAGCATTCCCTAATTATTACACTCATCTATTTGAATTATAGTATTTCCAGCATATAACCATCTTTGCACTTTATTACCCTGCTTATTTCTAAATATCTAAATATGCCTATTTATCAGCAACATATTTTAGTTTTACATACAAACAAGTTACTCCTTAAATGTCTCCAGCAATTTATTTTAAAACACTAAAACTCACTAGTGTTTTGTATGATCCAAACTGATAAAACTTTTCCAAATAAGTAGAGTTAAAATTGGCAAATATTTCCTCTAGATAAGATTCATGAGCCTGGCACTGTAGTAAGTTCCCAATCAATTACCAAATAGCAACAGGCAGCCTTGATGGTAATTAACACCTCCATGGCACCAAGCCTGACTGTGGGAAACCTTAGTATACATGAGCAATATCTCTAAATCTGTATTGCCCTCACCATATTTGCTATATTCATGCTTTAGCACAGGTTTTGCTGCACAGTCACATATGGTTCACTGTGGAGAACCAATTATCTCATTGCCTAAACAAAAAACTGAGAAGAGGGGAATTATTAATGGAATCTGAATTAATAGTGGAATTAATAGTAGAATCTGAGAATAGTGAAATAAAGGAATCTCAAGTGATTTTCTGTCCAATTTCCTCACTAGTCCAAAGCAGAACTGCCAACATCTCAGCCATCCCTTATTTATAYATTTTATTCTTAAAAGCTCCCAGTGATAGTAGCTGAAGGCTGGCTGTTCTTTTGAACTGTTGTGGATGCCTGTCCATGGCTGGACACAGGAACACAAGGTAAAAAAAGAAGAAGGAAAACAGAGCTAACACACTAGAGTTCTTCAGAGATGTTATTCATGAGTACTCTTCTCCACTCCTCTTAACACCTCCGGATGATACTCAAAGCAAGCAGATGTAAGGCCTCTTGCTCACCATGCACTTCAAAGACAGAATGTATTCTTGATGCTATCACTCGCACAGAGCATCTTAACTGCACTCTTTCATGCTGCTTTGCCTTAGGACAGGTACCTGTTACCCTTAATCGGTCATTTCAATGGAGTACTCACTATGCAGTGTCGAGAACAACAATTCTCTCCTCCTTAATCCTTGCTCATTGCCCTTGGCTGACTTGGCCGACACTTCTGGGACAGAAACTATTGACGAGATCTGCTTTGTTCTTCATTTCTGTTGGCTTTTTATTTGATTCATTATTCTCTTTGGCCTCAAGTTATAGGCAGTTTCTTCCCTGCAAGTTCTCCCCACAATTACCCCAGCACCCTAATTTCTGATGCAAGCAGTGGTTCAAGAGGCTTCAGGCAAACAGCTGCCACTCGCCCCAAACCAGCAGCATCAGTTCTTAAGCACGATTAAATGCAGGAACTTCAGGATGTGCTTCCAACATTTTGCATGAAGGCAGTTACCTCTCTGCAGCCCGTRTTCCCTTCGTCTCATCTGCCTCTCTTTTTTCCAGGTGTGTGGCTCTCCATTCCTATATGGCTCATGGACCAGATGAACTGGAGCTGCAGAAAGGAGAAGGGGTCCGCATCATTGGGAAATACCACGATGGCTGGCTCCGGGGAATGTCACTTGTCACAGGAAGAGTGGGGATCTTCCCTGGCAATTATGTTGCTCCCCTTTTCAGGTTTGATTTTTCTTATACACACACAAAAAAAAAAGCCTTTGCAAAAGGGACCSGGTTACACTGGGACATTGGGTCTTATTCCTGTGTTGAGATCACTACAAGGGGTTCTACACTATTAGTAATGGCTATTTATTCTTCATCTGGCTGGGATGACATCTTGCAGCTTTCCTCCTTGCAGCAGCCACCTTCRTCTGCTTGTTTTAAACCTAGGGTGTCAGAGACACTAGAACTTTCTTCCAGGACTGTTTTGTTCAGCCCAGGCGTTCAAGTAGAAACCTGTAGGTGACACGATGCAACATATTTTGTTGAGTTAGTCAGGGAGCCAGGACAAACAGCAGAGCTTGTGTATGCTCAGACTCACCCTTAYTCATTTTGGATGACTCCAGTCTTTTTTTCTGCCAGAAGGGAAACTGCAGGCAGAAGGCTCCTTTAGACTCAAAATTCTGGTTTTAGAGCAGGCATTTGAACATTAGAAACTGTTGATCTAGCACTGAACACGCATTAGCAAGATGGAACGGTAACTGAAAATAAACAATTTAGGAGACAAAAAAAAAATGTTTGGGCCCCTAGTTTCCTTAAGAGATACTCAGGTACAGCAGAGAAACTGGAAGAATAGATGAGAAATGTCATTTTCTTTACACAAATGGAAATTAGGTGTAAGTGAAAAAAAATCAGGATTATCGTGCCATTATTTGAAGCAGAGATTCCATAGCTGAAATCTCCTTGTTGCCATTAGGAAATCACCAAAAGGAAATCTGACTCTGTCCCTCCAAAAGTCACCATCGGAATCCTTTCTTCTTCCCTTTCACTGAGGGGGAAGAGCTGAGGGAAAAGCTTAGCTGCATTTTCTTCCACTGAGACTTAAGCAAACTGCCATATACAATAAGAAAAATAGCACCTGGTAACTTGCCAGCTCCCTCCCCCATGTTTTCTTCTGGTGGGGTTAAAAAAATAAAATAAAAACCAACTAGCATCAAGGGAAGGCCCTGGGAAGTCGTAGCCTTCTAGTTTCACAACAAAAATATACATTAAAMTCTGAGATACTCCTATCATATTTGATTCCCTCTCCCCCTCATTTCTCTTTCCCTGCTCGCATTTGCTTCTGCCAGATCACTCCGTTCACCCTGGAGGTCCCACTGCTGTTTTAATCTCCCCAGAGCCCTGCCCTGCACCCACCCTCCCTGCACTCGAGCATGGTTACTCGTCTCTCATTTCTCCCAGCACAGCTCCTGATAACACCGAAGCCCCACCTCACCAATAGCAGAGCAAATAAATAACCAAAGCACAGCTCACTCACCCTAAATAGCCTCATAAAGAGCTCCAACCAAAAGCACCCATTTTGGAGTTGCTATTTTATCATCCTTAGGAAATTGCTTCATAATAAATCAATGAGTCAGTTATTTGATTAATCACTACTCAGTTATTAAACTATAAATCATTCTTTCATCCTCCCAAAAAGGTAAGGAAGAGAGCCAGCAGAATGCCTTTGCCTTCCTTTGCAGGGCTAGCAAAGGGACTTCATCACGGCACGCTCTCCCAAGGAATTTGGGGTTATTTCGCCAGCACACCAATGGGGAATGTTGAGAGCCTTTTTGGCAGTTTAATAGACTCAGGTGAAAGCATATACATGACCCCTATAGGGAATAAAGGGGAGGACAAGGGTAATCCAGAACAGCTGCTSTGCCAGAGAGAGCTGTGTAAACAGCACCTGGGCTGCTAGAGCCAGAGGACAAGCAGCACAAACACTGCCCTGTCCTTGCAGACCTGCCCTCCCTCTCTGCGTTCAGGTGAGATGCCTCTTAAGSCTTCAGCTACAGGTACCACCCAGCACTTTCCCCAACCATGTTCATTCCATGCAGAAAATGGGGTGGGATACGCAAGTTTGCTTTTGTCTGTCATCAAAACCAGTCTGGTTTTGTTGCATAGGACTTCTACACAGATGAAATCGAAGAGGAACCATTCAGAATGCTAATAGCACCTCATGCTTTAATAGCACCCAAAATGCTGTAAAGCATCTGTGGAAACAGATAGTTCCTGTTCTCTACTTCTGCCTAAAGACTGCAGTTTATGAGCACTAGTGTCTATAATCATAGCATGGCACTTAACAGAGAACAGGACAAATCCTATTTTTCCATGATGTAGGAAGGATATTTGGGCAAGTCACAGATGCAGGTTTGGCTTGTCCTTTTTTGAAATGTCATGGTGTTAGTGTAAATAATTCTAACCATATTTGAGGAGACTTTCTTACCAATTGGGGGCACAGAGGAAAGTCCTTGTTATAATGGAGTTGGAAACCTTCACCAGCTACAGACTTCCATCAAAAACCTGACTTGAGGTGCAAAAGTCTTTTAAAACCTTTGAACTCTCTCTCTCAGACAAATCTATTTTCCTTTCAGAACTCCGTGACTGGAACGCTTGCAGACTGCATGAATCTCGGCTTATTTGCTTCTCCTTTTCCATCTCCACCAACAGGAAACCTAACCTCTCCGACTCGAAGATGCCGTCCCTGTACACCTCGTGGACGCTGTCGACCGCCTCGCTCTCCTCTCAGGGAAGCATCTCGGAAAACGGCCAAAGACAAAGCCGGCCTCTGAAGCCGGTGCTGCTGCCCGTGCCGGTGCCCTCGCCGGGGAGGAACGCGGCCCTGCTGGGCCCCTCGGCACAGGCCTCCTTGCGGCGCGGACGGGGCAGCGCCAGGAAGAGTAAGTGCTCGGGAAGAGCCTCTGGGGGCAGCAGCCATCGGGGGCCTCCCAAGAGAAGATTCTGCTACTAGAAACCCTTGGTATCTTTTAAAACTAAAAACATGCACCCGAATTATTAAATAACATTGGAGACTATTAGAAATATCCTTATATGGGTCAAATAAAAAAAAAAAAGGAAGTACAAATTTTAGGAAGTTAAACATGAGCTGTGCTAAGACAATATTTTAAGTCTGTAAAAAGGTCATTTGCAGCATTTTGGAAGATAAAGCCCAGTAAACCCAGATTCTGAGTCAGGCACATTGATCAAAAACATAATAAAAGAGAATTAGTAGACAGGTGCCTTTCTGTTGTATACCTTGGAAGGTGCAGCATTTTGCCTGGAGGAAAAGAAAAAAAAATCACTGTATTTTCTGTGCAAGGAAGTTCCATGTCACAGGTCCGCTTCAGTTCCATGAATCAGAGTGCATAAATAGTCCTGGTAAATTTGCATCTCAAATGCTTCACACATTTCTTGTAACTCAGAATAGAATAGAATAAAATTAGAAAAAAAAAAGTATACAGAAGGATGATCAAGAGAATGGAAAAATTGCTATCTGAGGAACAAAATTTTCCATCTTAGAAAAGTCTGAGATGTAAAAATCATGAGTAGCATGAAGGCCAAAAAAAAAGGCATACAGTAAAATTATGGATACAAAGGTCTTGATAGCAGAGAGCTGGAGGAAAAGAATACTCTGCATTTAGTCCTTTTTGTCCTCCTCCCTCTCTAAAGCCAATACGGGCTCCTCTTGGAGGCAGCACCTCAGCCCCGCCGGCCCCATCCCGTCCAGGTGTCCCCAGGCTCCGAGCTGCAACTGCAGCAGAAGGAACGTCACTGCCCAGACACAGAGCCTCTGCTCTTCAGGGCAGCTTGGCCTGGTCTGTATCCCTGGAATAACTATAGGTGAAATGTGGGGAACACAAGGATTGTGGCATTGGATTTTACTTATTGTTTATCTTCAGAAATCATTTTCTGAAGGAAAGGACTTTGCACAGCTTTAATCATTCAGGCTTCATGTTCTGATCAGCTGCTTCCTTAAGCAGTTCACCAAAGCTACCAACATGTTAAGGTGCTATGTTAACAAGAGACAAGTTTATCCCATTCCCTTGGCTCTTGGTAATACAATAGTCAAGCACAACAGAAAACTAAAATTAATTCACATACACTCAGGGCTGCAGGGAAAAACCGCTCCCAAAGATGGGAGCACAGCTGGAATGCCTTAATGAATCCCCACCCCAAGGCTGGCAGTGGAGCCTGGCAGTTTTGGTGCTATTTTGCCCCATCTGTGGTTATTTGGTAATTCCAAATTCTTGACTCAGCACAGAAAAACTCTTTGTAAAGGATTATGCAGAGTTCAGCTGGTTATGTTCTTTCAGGTGATGTTGGCAAGACTAATTTTCAGATCATACATGCTGCTTTGGGATAAATTTCCAAATATATTTAAGCAACTAAATGGCATATTCTTTAATTCTTGCAGAAAGAGCTGCTGCTAGAGATAGGCAGTGGCAGGAGGCGAGACTCACTTTGCAAAGGCCATTGCCAGTGTTTAGACTCAAAATTGGATTTATCTTACAAGTTGTTTTACTTTAAAGGACTCATTCCCCTGTGATAGCTCTACTTAAAAATCAATCTTGTGAACAGCAAGAAATCACAGATGAAAAAAAAAGTGTGACTTCCAGTGCCATTGCCTGGAAAGCAGGTATGAGACAGAGCAGGCAAAGTGGGAGCAACAAGCGGCAGCAGGAGAGGAGGAGTGTGAGCTCAGGTGCTAGGGCTGTTACACATCTGGYGAGAAAACACAAGGCGAGAAGGGCAGGAGGCCCAGGAGCATCTCAGGGACTGAGGACACTCCTCCCCACCAGCCTTTAGCACCTCGCCAGATCAGGGATTCCCCAGCTAGGGGTCGGCTCAGGCACTGGATTACTGGGGATGGGATTTGCTGCTCCAACCCAGCATGCACTGGTGCCACAAACCCTGCCACAGATGCAAGCTGCGAATCAACCCAGACAGGAGAATTAAAAATTTCTTAGTTCACAGYCATTTGGTGGGAACGCTCCACCTCCAGACAGAGGTCCTCATAGTACAGCAGCAAGTCAGCAAACAGCTTGCAAGAAAAAAATAATGCACTAAACTGAAGACACCTAAGCATTTTACCAGCAGGCACTTAGAGCTGATGGAAGCCACATTCATTCCATCTCCCCTTGTCTAGGATATGAAAACACAACTATCTAGTTCAACAGATCAGCAGGGAGCAAAACAGGAGGTCAGAGCTGCTGTAGCAATGCAGAAGGATGGAGAATTTAAGCTTTTTACCCCTGCCAATGTCCAGCACAGCACGAGTGTGTTAGGAAGGGACTATGGAGGCAGAGCTCACCACTGCAGGCGTGGGCTGTGCACAGACCCCCGGGATCACTCCAGAGCAGAGGGTGCCTCTGAGGGCCCTCCCTGCACACCAGCCTCCCAGCACCACTGTAAGGGCTGCTCCTTTCTGCACCATGGCTCCAGTTATATCACCTTCCTCTCGGGGTCAAGTGCATTTGTTAACTCCTACCTCCTTCGATCCGATCTTGTTCTGCAGATGGGTCCCTGCAGAGGCCCGGGCAGGCCGGGACCCCTGTTCACGTGGCCGGCTCCCTCCGACGTCTTCCCGCCACRGCGGCGCGGCCCCTGCAGTTCCAGCTTTACCAGCACGTCAGCTCTGCGGGGGCCGGCATGGCCGATGCTGCAACAAGGCCAAACTTCTCCCACGACGTGTCACCGGCACTTGTGCTTAGAGGAGGRGAAAGCAAAACTCCCTCTGTGTGTAGTTCCGTGATCCTGGATGTCAAAGATCTTCCAGCAAAAAGTGAGGCTGCTCCAAAGCCGCCTGCATCGGCTCCACCATCCATCCTGGTGAAACCAGACACTTCCCGGAACAGCACTGAAAAGGTAAGGCCAGGAGCTACCCCCTACCCTAGAATGTCTTTGTGATCCCTTTGGGGCTGAGATTCAGCGTGAGCTCAATGCTGACCGAGGGACAAGTTTCCAGAGGGCTCTGCTCTATTTTCACTTGGTTTTCTTTTGGAATACTTGGACTGGTACCTGTGCTAAGAGATCACATTTGTGTATGGATGAGTCTGCTGTTGGAATTAAACCCATTAGAGAGGTGAGATGCTGCAAATATATCAATCAGTGTTCTCTCACATTTGGTCATGACCAAACCTTAAGACTTTTCCTCACATTTTAAATCAAACAAGAATTTAATCGAAATCCCCAAGACTTTGGATAGCAAAAGTCCTAGAAATGGGAATATGAGACCTTACRTTAGCCTGGTCTCTACAGAGATTCAACAAATTCCCCTGCCCCAGAGATCTCTTTTTCCCACTGGCAACAGGGGTGAAACTTCCAGAAGGACTTTGTACCATCTGTGAAACTGCCCCAGTGACAACTTTCCCCTTCTATGGCACCCAAACAGCTCCATGAGTCTCTCAAAGCACAACCCCCTTTGGAGCTTCTAGGAAGAACATTAGCTAGAGACAAACCTTGTTTGTTCTCTCAGTGAGGGGCACAGTAGGAGAGAGGCCGCATTGTTTCCTCTAGTTCACGTTCTTGCACGAATTTCTGCACTGCTCAGACTGCCTTTCATAGGTCTTTAAAATACCGTGCTGTAATATATCGATTATGCACACAAAGCTGTGCAATTTCCTGATGTTTTGTGCATCCTACACTGCACATTCGGTCAGGTAGATGGAGACACAGCCGCTCCACAGACATCATCTGCCCCAGTAGCAAACCACCTCTCTGAGAAGGCAAAGATCCTGCTTCTGTAGAGCAGCTCAAGCAAAACTACAGGGCGATTTTGTTTTCCCGGTGTCACGGTGTCCCGTTGTCGTTGCAGCAAGTGAAGACGGTGAGGTTCCAGAACCAGAGCCCGCCGCCGCCCAAGCGGCACAGCCTGCAGCCCTCGCCGCGCCTGCCGCGCGGCCCCGCCGAGCAGGGCGCGCAGGCGGACACGCTCGCCGCGGACGCCGACGGGAGCCTGCTCGGGCCGCGGCTCAGCGCCAGCCCGCTGCACCAGCGCCGGGCGAAGGCCGCCTCGCTGGACCTTGCCGGCCAGGCAGGACAGCTGACCTTCCCTCTGAAGAAGAGCTACAGCAGCATTTCTGCAAACTGACAGGTCAATTCCCTGCGCCCTGCTCTGAGGGCCGAGCATCCTCACCAGCCTGCCACCTCCTCCRCCTTCCCCTCCCTGGCCTGAGCTCGGACACCCCTGCCTCCGCGTGCCCCTGAGCCTGCCAGGCACCCCAGGGATCTGCACGTTTCGGGTTTAGAGAACTGGAGGTGCTCCCAACGTAGCAGGGTGGGACAACATCTGACACCACACAGGAGAGTCCTATTTCTGAGACACACTTCAAGCTGCACCTTCACAACCTGCCACTGCATCAAACACCCCACGCCACGCTGAGTGGTGCTAGGAAAACCCCTTTGCCACCCAGGTTACTTCAAACACCACACAAAGATGAAGTTGGCTTCCACAGAATAGATACCTGGTGCCATAAAGAGCTGCTTGTGAGATAAGCAGAGCAAGGGTGKGACAAGGAAGACAGAGGACAGGCATCAGAAGTAGTTAAACTTGCTTTGATCTCCTGGCTACTACGGAAAACATATTGAGATAAAAATACTGGCTCATTAACTTTCTGCACAATTACATATTCTGCAGGATAAAGAAACCATAAATCAAAACTATCCAGCTCCTGGCTTAATGCTCAAGTTCTCTTTTGAGGGGTTTTCTCTTCAGATACTTTTGTTAAGGTTTGGGTTTTTCCCCCCCTTTTTTTTTTTTTTTTTTTTCTCCTCTCTCTTTTCTCTCTCTTCATTTCGTTGCTTGCTTGTTTGCATTTAGTCCAAGAATTTTAACTTAGAATACAGTTTAAAAGGTGATTTGGAGAGGAAAGGGATGCGTCATTACAAGCCATTAGACGTTGCAGGTGGAARTATTAGATCTCTCTTGGTTGGCTGGTTTCCTCTAAAGACCTGATATCTGCTTCCTGGCAGTCTGTCACTTCACCACACTGCTTCTTTTTTCCACCTCCCAGCCATTTAGGCATTGCTTTTGTAAAATATCCTAAATGGAATTTATGGGTCTAACCGAGTCCACATTAAGATGCATGAAACATTTTCTAAATAACAGAAAGCAGCATTCACCATGGCACAGACCACCCTTTGCAGCAGCARCACCAACTCCAGCTTTCATCTGACTTCTATTTGAGACGTTATCCTGTGAAACCACTGAAAAATAAGCAGAACTGGACAGCTGTGCCCAGCTATCCAGCTGTGACAGCTATTCAGCAAACGGGTGCACAACAGGTTTTGCTTTTCACATTTCATTTTTACTGCTGRTTTAGAGACCACCAATTCCCATTCTAGCCACAACAAGCAAACATTCAATCTCCTAACAGCAGTGGCTGTGCTTCTGCCAGGACTGCCCTAACACAACAGCCTTGGCTAATTGCACACCAACCCCATGCAATTACCTCCATTGGTCAATGGAAACTGAGCCTCAGAGAAGGAGTTTGCTTTTGGAATGAAGAAAGCTGAATGGATAAGGACAACTACCAGCCTATAGCACTAATTCGTTTACCCTTTCAGACTATTTTTCTTTTGGTGAAGCTGTCTTCTCCCTGACCCAACAAAAAGGATTTTCAACAGCACAGAAGCAAGTGGAAAAAACAAGTGTGTTCTTCACTTTGAGCTACCTGCCACTGCTTAAACTACTAAAGAAAGATTCTGTGAAATTACAAGTATGCACTCTACCCAGCTATAAAAAAAATGGTGCAAGTTGCAAATAAAAGGCTAAACATGGCTCTCAGCAATGCCACTCCAGTGACAGCCAAACCTTCCAGAAAAAAATGCCCRTTCTTTACTAGAGATTTCTCTCATTCCCTTCAACTTGAAGTCTCATAAACTGGCTCTGCAAGCAGTGCTTCTCCTAAACTCATTTAGATTTCCAGGATCAGCTCATTGTGCAACTTAGAGCGCTAGTCTGGAGGCAGAGGAGGGGGTGCCTGCTCGTGTCCCCAGAGCGTTGTTTGTGGCTCCCCAAAGGAGGGATTGCTGGTGTGACCCGGCTGCTCACCTGCTGAGGAGGCTACAATGGATTTCAGCAGCAGCCTCCGAGATGCGCAGAAAACAGCAGCACGGGGGCCTGAAACCGTGTGTGAGAAATAACGATGCAGACAAGTGGTAAAGACGAGGGAGCAAGAGAAAACACGAAGCAGAGTGGAATGTAGAGACAGGATAGCGCATGTGCAGAAACAAGGGGAACGTTGGTATTTGCTGCCTCGAAGATGGACGGACAGAGGGACCCCGTGCACGCAGACTGCGGCTGATGCCACTTCCCGAGCGTTCCAAGTCAGGAGAAGGCAGCTTTGAGCGGGACAGCTCCCCGAGCAGGGGAGGCTGCGGCAGCTCTGACAGGAGCTGCTTGGCGGCCACCAGCGCTGCAGCCGGCCCCGCGCCCTGCAGCAGGAGCTCGAGGACAGCGCTACCGCGGAGCGGAGCTCATCAGCGACTTCTCCCGGGAAGGCCAGCAGGGATGCAGYGCAAGCTGCGTGCGAATGGGGGTTAAGGACGAGGGACAGGAAGGAAACAGTGCACTGAAATTCACTGAAACTTCAACCGAAACATATGTTGAAGTGAAGTCACCTTGTAAATGTGACATTCCCGAGAGGCTGGTTTCCTGCACGCAGCAGGCACGCTAGGCAAGGCAACAAGGAAGGCTTTGCATTTCAGTCTGGGGCTGCAAGATGAGGYGCTCAAAGCCAGCTAAAGAACTAACCCCGCTCGGTCTCTCGCGCGCAGAGCCGATGCGCGGCAGCGTCGTCGGGGCCGCAGCAGGCACCAGGCCGAGCTCAGTGTGCCCAGAGGCTTCTTATGCCATAAAGGCTTTCTGGTAAAGAGAAACCTGTAAAGGCCGGATCACATTTCCCAGATCCATCTCATAATATTGTCAGCTTTGAATATTGCTTTTCATGAAATGAAACCACCCCGTTATCCTCTTACATGAAGATAAACATCAATAAGGTGTTGTAGCACCGTGCACACAGAGGAACCCGCAGTGCTGTTCAGCCCATGACACGGACCTGCAGAACTGATGCAAAGACACTGAGAAGCAACCCAGGTCTCCTCTGGACATCGCCCACTGCACGACAGCCGAGCGGCAGCAGCAGGCTGACGAGGAGCGAGAAAAGCTCTCACACGTGTGCACACACGCTCGGTCATGAGCRATGACAGGGAACGCTGACAGCCAAATTGGCACTTCGGTAAAATAGCAAGAAGCTATTTTGGGACAAATCTCTCAATCGGTTTCTTTCACAGAATATTTTGGTGCTTTGATGCTATGGTGATAAATGCCCTAAATATACCCAAAACATACAGAGAGACAGGACTCTAAATAGGATGTACTTTAAAGCAACAGATCTGGTGAGCAGCTGGTTCCCGCTGCCCAGTCCCTCCCTGGCAGGGCATGGACACCTGGCCACTCATTTACTATCACAGTCCCCTAGGCCAAATGGCTAAAACGCTCCTAACCTCCTCCCCTGCTCACTTGGCAAGCCCTAGCACCAAGGAGAAGTGGCTGAATTCAAGCCTTTCACCCCAAAATCCTAGCTAAAGGAGATGCTGGTAGGAGCTACCGGGGCTTGGACGGGAGCTGTGAGCAGGGAACACCAGACAAGCAGCTCYCGTCCACGCAGTGATGTCAGTGGTGCCAGGGAACACGGAGCAGGTCCGGGCTGGAACAGTTTCTAATTGCAGCAGACTAAAGGGACCCTATTCCAGCGCACTCGCTCTCCATCACCTTCTGCAAAGAGGAGGCTGCAGGGAGCTCTTGCTGCGCCGGGCGGTGCAGTTTGCGCATCCTTTCTGCTCACACCTGGCAGGAGCAGCAGGTCGGAAGCGCGCTCGCCCCGCTGAGCTCGTCCCGCTCCTTCCCCCCTCTTTCCTTCCCCCACCCCCCCGTTTTTATGGGCAGCAGTGAGRAGGAGACACATCACATCACACGTTGGAAGGAGGCTGGCAGCGTCACATGGAGGTGGGCGAGCTCTTCCAGGGTTTCTGCTCTCTTTCTATATATTTTTAAGCTACCCTCCTCACTTTTCATCCCCCAGACTCTCTTCATCTAAATATCCCCAGAGAGGAGAGGTTAGACATGAGCATCATGAGCCTCCTGTGTCACTGCYGAGCTAGCCAGGAAAGCTCACCATGGATGAGATGATCCAGGTGCTCCCAGGAGGGCGGCCCCTCCACAGCGCTGCACGCACCCGGGCTCTGGAGGGACCGCTCTGGCCCTGCTTGCTGGATTGCCACATCGACAGCCTTCCATTTTAGACACAAATTACTACAGGAAGTACAGAGAGCAAAGACGACAGCATGAGAGAGGCAACGTACAGCCGCAGAGCTACCGCGGCGTGGCCGATGTGCATAACGAGAATATATTGTTCACTGCCTTCGAGCTGCGTGTTGGAGAGGCTGATCACAGAGGCTCCGACCATCCCCGGCGCCTTGTTTGCCTGCGGAGCACAGGAACGGAGCCCAGCAAGGGCCAATGAGGCAGAGCACGGGGACACAGGGACCACGAATGAACCCCGCTCTGCTCCTGATGAGGTCTTCTTTTCCATCTGCTCATTTTTTATGATTAGCTAATGAATTGGAGCCCAAAACAGATCATTCATCAGCGCTCCTTTAATTGCCTTCCTAACCCTGTAGGAGCCTGGAAATTCTGCAGTAAGCAACCCCAAGAGCTTGCATTGCAGCCATGTTTCCTGGTTAACAGCGAACAAACAAGGCAGAGCATGAAAATGGGACACATTTAACAAATTCCATCCACACGTTACTTGCAAAGAATGCATCTGCACCCCTGCSAGAAGCAGCTGATCTCAGACCCTGAGGAAGAATCAGAGCTGTCCCACAATCCGTGCAACAAGTGGACAGTTTGGGCCCAAAACAGGCTCTCCCACCCCTCTGCCACAGGAGAGGCAATATTCAGCGAAACAGGCCCTGCTGCCTTCTGATTTGCGTCTTCCAGCTGCCGAGCTTTTCAGAATTGTGTTTTCAAGAGGTTGTCCCCACTCCCACATGCACAAGGGCTTCCTCTTTTTTAAAATGAAAATTAAGAGCCTTTTATTTCATATGCCACGTGATGGCAAGAACTTGGGACACGAAAGCGATACCCCTAGGGAGCGAAAGGCTGCCGCACAGGCCGGCGACACCCCCTCCTGCCCTGCGCTCCCTTGGGAGCTTGGAGCCGAGCAGGGAGCCAGCAGGTCGGAGGAGAGCAGAGCGCGGCCCGGGGCGAGGTGCGGGGCGCCCTGCCCGCTCTGCACCACGGGAATGGCAAACGCACCGTTTCCTTGTGCCTAACTCGCTCCCTCGCTAGCGGCTATTAGACAGACCAGTCTCTAATGAGAGATCAGTCTGCTGCGCACCGCGAGCACACGACCCGCAGCGCGCGTCTGCTCTCCTGCTTCCAGGGCTCTGCCCCGAATCAGAAAGGCCATTTTAAAAATTAAATGAGGAAAAGCTATTAGGCTGTGGTGCATTTAGACTGCTAATCTGTGATATATTCCTAGTCACTAAGTGTTTTAATGAGCACTTATTTCCAAGCCTTTTATTTTCTGCTTGATCCTGATTAGTTTTTCACAAGCTACTTAAGTAATACACCAAACATCTCACCTAAATTCACCAAACACAAATTAGCTTGAGAGAGAAAAATCGGAGGGAATAAACAGCCTCTAGAAGAGCCATCAGTCCCCCCTTTCCTCCCGCCAGCCCTTCCAGCAGGGAGGCAGCAACCTCTGCCCTATGGAAGTCGCTGCAAACTGCCGATGCCACAGAGCTTCTCCCAGCGACAGCAGTCCTGAAAGCTGGGAGGGAAAAGCGTCATTGCCTCTCCCCTTCCCTTCTTCCGTCCCAAGCTCTGGGAAGGACAAGTTGCATATTTTGCCCCATTGGGAGCAAAGATTTGACCCCCAAATATTTAAGTTGGAAATATCAGAATGGCCCAGAAATGAGTGAGCTCATATGTACATATATAAAGATTTTTAGAATGTTTATCCACTGCCCAATAGATAATTTAAATAACTACATATTTTGAAGTATTGATAGTGTAGATATCTTAAGTTTTTCAGTTGTTTTGCATTAAGTCGCAATATCACAACTCTTTTAAAAGTAGCATTTCAAAATACTCAGAAAAACCAGCAAGTAGAAACCCAAGTGACGAGATAAGGACTCACCAAGCAGCTCCAGGGCAAGGGCGCATAAACTGATCACCTTCGGTAGCTCCACCTGCTTCAAACCACGTTAGAGAGTTCAAAACCACTGTGGCCAAACCAGGSACTACTCTTATTAAAGGCAAATAAAAGATACCTTCATACCAAAGTTCCAGCTTAATACACTCTAAAGACAGCAGGAATCACTAATGAGGTAATTCAGTCACCTGCACAACATACCAGTACATTTTGTCACCTTCTTTCTCCATTACACCCAGGAAACATTACTATGAAATGTATGAAATGTTACAAATATGTTTTATAAAAGGAAAAAAARCTATTTTTGTGTATATGTTTAGAAACAGTAGAATATATAGTCTTCACTTATTTGGTGATGGGTAGAAAAATAGTAATATATAAATTTGGTTTATTGCTCAAAGATACTTACACAAGTTCAGTTATGCTTAATATTTTTCCATGATGTGAAGCTCGTTTTCTAAATTTTTTCAACTTAACTTGCTACTAGGGAGAAGAAAACCATTAATAAACAAACAAAAAAGGTTTTGTATTAAGAGAGGTATTTTGTATTTCCTGAGTGAAGGACAGGGCTTGCACATTTTCGGCTTTCGGAGGCCGCTGGTGCCAGGCCCAGCGCCGCGCTGGGTTGGCAGCCTGGGCGCTGCCGAGCGGCCGCCCGCGCGCACGGGCAGCGGGCGCAGGGCCGCGGCCGAGGCTCCCGCGCCACACGCGCGTTATTCCGTCCTGTAAAAACTGCTGTGCTGACATTAAAACTGGTTTTGCATGAGACGGGAATTTTTATTTTCACTGCCATATCCCACACTTCTGTTTTGCCCCTTGCCAGCCCAGGGCATCCCAAGAGGATGGGATGGAAGGTTAACGGCAGCAAAGGCAGGACCAAGGAGCCGGGCTCGGCGTCCCTGGCCAAACACCTGCCCACGTGGGAGGATGAGCTGAGCTCAGAACTGAGCTGCAGCTATTTTCAATCACTGATGTTCGTCATCTCCAGCAGCCTCCCACCATTAAACCGAGTAACACTTAGCACCAAGTTTTAGGGTGGGAGTGTTCAGGGGCTTTGAAGTCTCTGGATAAAAAGAGCAATTTAGATTAGTCCTATTTTAAGTGGGGCCCAAGTGAGTCACAGGCAACRTGCAGGGAGGGGAAAGGAAGGCGAGGGACCTCCCGTCCTGCTTCCAGCCTCACYTCTCACCACTGCACTGGGCTACTACCCCTTTACTTTATCCCRGTGCTGTAAAATGTCTGGAGGTGCAGAGCGACTCGGTCACCGCTGTTCCCATCGCTCACCGTTTCCTGCACTGTGTTTTCAGGTCACAGGTCTAGGCAGGGAAAGCAACCCACGTTCACACTTCCAAGCCAGTGCTGCACCAGTGAGCAGTTAACTGCTGGTCCGCAGAGGTCGGCGGGCAGCACACCAGGGCGCGCGATACGGAACACGACAAGCAGTGGCAGAAAGGCTGCTAGGAGGTACTCGTGCCTTTTATTTTTAAAAGTCAGGCATTTTGCATTGTGGGTGGCGAGGGAGGAAGAGTGGATGGAAGGGAAGAATCATGACTCAGGCTCCCTTGCTGGGGATTTTTCTAACTAGGACATCTTCAGCTACAGGAATGGCATTTACTTCACAGATCTGGGTCACGGCCCTCCTCTTCAGCTCTCGGGCCACTTGACAGACAGCAAAAGGCCAGCAGCAGTAAACTGCTAGCCAGTCCTCATAAATGGTCCCCTGGAATAAGAATTAATACAGGTCTATGCAAGAGGAATGACCACGAACCAGCTTTTCCACTTCATTGTGCCTACGTTACCCTGACCGAACCGCGACCAGCCCCAAGAGCAAAGGAGCCACGGGCCGGACCCAGCCCTAGCTCGGTGGGCGCCCTGGCCCGACTCGGGTACCAGCGACCATGAGGTGCAGCCCGCGCCCCGGGAGCACCCGCAGCTGGCACTGGGGCTTTTAGGATCCCCAGTGGGGCACACGCTCCAGCCGAGGTTTCCACTCCATGGGGAGGTTTCTTYGCTCCCTGCCACCCTGATTACACTGTAATCTATACTTTACAGCATCAGCTCTGGGCTATGTAATTTTACAGCAGCTACACAGACTCATACAATCCTGCTCTCACAAAGCACTTTAAAAACATGAGTAGTTGCTAGGAGTTGGAATTCTATTATAAAACAAATATTCCTTCTCTCTCAGTGCAAGAAAAAGGGCAATTCTAGAGACTTAATGCATTAGTTCTGCTTTAAAAGCGCATCAAGGTAACAGAACAGATTTTCAGATCAAAAAGGAATTTGGCTGCAGGATCCTGCAGGAGCCTGTGTGAGCAGTGCGTAGGGGGCAGCGGGTGGAATCCATCTTCTCCAGGACCAAGTCCCAGACGAGCCTCTCCTGTGCCTCGTCCCGGGGTCCCAGACGAGCCTCTCCTGTGCCTCGTCCCGGCACGAGGGCCGCACGGTGCCGCGCTGCAGGGCGCTGATGCATCCGGCTCTGCCTCCACGCG